ACTACTGCTGGCTTTGAAAATGGAGGCAGGGGCCACAGACCAAAGAATGTAGGCAGCCGCTACAAGCTGGAAATGGTGAGGAAACCGACTATCCCCTAGAGCCTCTAGAAAGGAATGCATCCCTGCCAATCCCTTGATTTTAGTACAGTGAGACCCATGGCTGACTTCTGACCCACAAAACTCAAATTTCAAGTGCAGGAACAAATTTGGGTGAAGGTAAGAGTTAGAGTTAGAATCAGGTTAAAGTTAGGTGCAGGGTAAGGGTGAAGTCAGGCTCAAGTTGAAGGCTGGAGGGTGAGAGTGAGTGTGTGATTTGGTGCCAGGTTCAGGCTCATGGTCGGGGTCTCTGTGAGTGAGGGTCAAGGTCAGCATAAAGGTAAGAGTCAGGGTGTTAGGCTCAGGGTCAAAGTCAGTGTCAAATTATGTCAATTTGAACATCAGGGTCAGAATTATTGCAAGGGTCAGGGTTAGTAAGGTCAGGGTGAGAGGAGAGGAAGTTAGTGTCAGAGTAAGGGTCCTATTCAGAATGAGGAAAATCAGGTTCAAGATAAAAGTCAAGGTCAGAGTCAGGAGCATGGTGAAGGTCAGGGACATGATCAAGTTCTAATGAGGTTCAGTTTTCAGAGATAGAGTGGAGCTCACGGTCAAGTCAATGTCAGAGTGAGGGTAAGAGAAAACATTCATGTCAGGGTGAAGGTTAGAAGGGTCAGGGTCATGACCAACTCATGTGCAGGGCTGGGGTCGGTGTGAAGGTTAGGGTCTGATTAGGTGGAGGTGAGAGTCAGGGAAAAGGTGAGAGACGAAGTCAGGGTCAAGCTGAGTTTACGATCTGATTGAAGGTCAAAATCAGTCATGAGCTACACATGGATTATGGCCAGGTTGAGAATCTGCTTCAGGCCAGGGTCAAGGAACAGGGGAGTCCTAGGGCCTGACTGACAACCAGTGTCAGCACTGTTGAGTGTGAGAATCAGGTCAAGGGCAGGATTAGATTGGTATAAGAGATAGGGTCAAGGTCAGGGCCAGAGTCAGGGTTAGAGATGAGTGGGGGGTCAGATTTACATGACTTCCATGTTCATGGTCAAGGTCATGATAGGCATCTGGGTGAGGGTCATGGTCAGAGTCAAAGTGAGCATCAGTGCTAGAGTTAGGATGAGGTCAGGGTCAGTCACCGATGCTGTTTGGCTGTGTCCTCCACCAAATATCATCTTGAATTGTGGCTCCCATAATTCCTACATGTTGTGGGAGGGACCAGATGGGAGAATAATGGGGGCAGTTTCCCCCACACTGTTCTCATGGTAGTGAAAAAGCCTCACGAGATCTGATGATTTTACAGTATAAGGGGAAATCCTTTTCACTTGGTTATTATTCTCTCTTGCCTGCTGCTGTGTAAGACGTGCCTTTTGCCTTCCACCATGATTGTGAGGCGTCCCCATCCATGTGAAACTGTAAGTCCATTAAACCTATTTTTCTTTATAAATTACCCAGTCTTGGGTATGTCTTTAACAGCAGTGTGAAAACAGACTCATGTTATACATCGGTACCAGCAGAGTGGAAACGACTTTGGAACCGAGTAACAGGCACAGGTTGGAAGAGTTTGGAGGGTTCGGACAAAGACAGGAAAATGTGAGAAAGTTTGGAACTTCACAGAGATTTGTTGAATGGCTTTGACCAAAATGCTGATAATGATATGGATAATAAAATTTGGGCTGAGGTGGTCTCAGATGGAGATGAGGAACTTGTTGGGAGCTGGAGTAAAGATGACTCTTGCTATGTTTTAACAAACAGACTGGAGGCATTTTGCCCCTGACCTAGAGATTTGTGGAACTTTGAACTTAAGGGAGATGACTTAGGATATCAGGCAGAAGAAATTTCTAAGCAGCAAAGAATTCAAAGGAGACTTAGCTGCTGTTATAAGCATTCAATTTTAAAAGAGAAATGGAGCATAAAAGTTGAAAAAATTTGAGGCCTGATGATGTGATAGGATAGAAAAGGAATCCACCTCCTCCCCAGCCCCCGCTTTTTGAGAGGGAGTCTTGCTCTGTCACCAGGCTGGAGTGCAGTGGCACCATCTCAGCTCATTGCAACCTCTGCCTCCCAGGTTCAAGTGATTCTTCTGCCTCAGTCTCCCGAGTAGCTGGAATTACAGGTGCCCACCACCACACTCAGCTAATTTTTATATTTTTAGTAGACACAAGTTTTCACCATGTTGGTCAGGCTGGTCTTGAACTCCTGACCTCAAGTGATCCGCATGCCTCAGCCTCCCAAAGTGCTGGGATTACGGGTGTGAGCCAAGCCACCATGCCCAGCTGAAAAACTGGTATTCTGAGGAGAAATTCAAGCCAGCTCTAGAAATTTGCATAAGTGATGAGAAGCCAAATGTTAATTGCCAAGACAATGGGGAAACCCCCAGGGCATGTCAGAGACCTTTGCATCAGCCACTCCATCACAGGCCCAAAGGCCTAGGAGGAAAAAATGATTTTGTGGGCCAGGCCAAGAGCTCGCCTGCTGTGTGCAGCCTAGGAACTTGGTGCCCTGCATCCCAGTTGCTCTAGCCGTGGCTAAAAGGGACCAAGTTACAGCTTGGGCCATGGCTTCAAAGCATGTAAGTTCCAAGCCTTGGCAGCTTTTATGTGATGTTGAGCCTCCAGGTGCACAGAAGTCAAGAATCAAGGTTTGGGAACCTCTGCCTAGATTGCAGAGGATGTATGGAAAGGCCTGGATGTCCAGGCAGAAGTTTGCTAGAGGGGCGGGGCTCTCACAGAGAGCCTCTGCTAGGGTGGTGTGGGATGGAAATGTGGGGTTAGAGCCCCCACACAGAGTCCCCACTGGGGCACTGCCTAGTGGAGCTGTGTAGAGGGCCCCCATCCTCCAGACCCCAGAATGGCGGAGGCACTGACAGCTTGCACAACGTGCCTGGAAAAGCTGCATTCAATGATCATCTTGGAGCTTTAATATTTGACTGTACTGCTGGATTTTGGACTTGCATGAGACCTTTAGCCCCTTTGTTTTGTCCAATTTCTCCCATTTGGAATGGCTGTATTTATCCAATGCCTGTACCTCCATTGTATGGGGTATACCCTAGGAAGTAACTAACTTGCTGTTTATTTTACAGGCTTATAGATGGAAAGGACTTGCCTTATCTCAGATGAGACTTTGGACTTTTGAGTTAATGCTGAAATGAGTTAAGATTTTGGGAGACTGTTGGGAAGGCATGATTGGTTTTGAATTGTGAGAACATGAGATTTGGGAGGGGTCAGGGGTGGAATGATATGGTTTGGCTGTGTCGCCAGCCAAATCTCATCTTGAATTGTAGCTCCCATAATTTCCACATGTTGTGGGAGGAACCCAGTGGGAGATAACTGAATCATGGGAGTGGTTTCCCCATTCTCATGGTAGTGAATAAGTCTCATGAGATCTGGAGGTTTTATAAAGGGAAAACCCTTTGGTTTGGTTATTATTCTCTTTTGTCTGCTATGTAAGACGTGCCTTTTGCCTTCTACCACGATTGCAAGGGCTCCCCAGCCATGTGGAACTGTAAGTCCGTTAAACATTTTTTTTCTTTTCTTTTTTTTTTTTTTTCTTCAAGACGGGGTTTCACCATGTTGGTCAGACTGGTCTTGAACTCCCAACCTCAGGTGATCAGCCTGCCTTGACCTCCAAAGTGCTTGGATTACAGGCGTGAGCCACCGCGCCCGGCCCTGTTAAACATTTTTTTATAAATTACTCAGTCTCAGGTATGTCTTTATCAGCAGCATGAAAACGGACTAACACAGTCATGGTAAGAGTCAGGGTCAGGTTCAGAGTGAAGTTCAAAGTAAGCATTAGAGTCAAGGTCATGGTCAGACTCAGAGTGAGACACATGCCCAGAGAGGGCCTAGATGAGAGTGAGGGTGAAGGTTAGGCTGCATGTCAAGGTCTGGGTAAAGGAGGTCTGGGTAAAGGTCAGCATTAGGGTCATGGTTAGAGTCAGGACCATTATCAAGTTCAGAGTAAAAAAGGTGTTAGGTTGAGGCTCAGGGTCAGGTTAAAGATATTAGGGTTATAGTCAAGATCGGCATGAGGTCAAGATATGAGGGTCAAGGTCAGGATCAGCAACCTCTATGCTACTTTCTGACACCAGGTACTGGCTTTTGTGGATGCAACTTTCTGAAATGCTCTTCCTCCATTTACCTGCATGTCTTCCTCCTTCACGTGCTTGGACCATGCTGCCTCACACTCCCTGACCTTTCACTAGGATGTGAATGTCACAAAGGCAGTGATCTTGGAATGAAATGTTTTGCACATCAATGGGTCCCAAGCACAGAATAGGCACTCAATAAGAGTTTAACATCGATGAGTATGCATTAAAGTATTCCTGTAAAAAAGTACATCTGAGGGGCCGGGCGCGGTGGCTCAAGCCTGTAATCCCAGCACTTTGGGAGGCCGAGGCGGGTGGATCACGAGGTCAAGAGATCGAGACCATCCTGGTCAACATGGTGAAACCCCGTCTCTACTAAAAATACAAAAAATTAGCTGGGCATGGTGGCGCGTGCCTGTAATCCCAGCTACTCAGGAGGCTGAGGCAGGAGAATTGCCTGAACCCAGGAGGCGGAGGTTGCGGTGAGCCGAGATCGCGCCATTGCACTCCAGCCTGGGCAACAAGAGCGAAACTCCGTCTCAAAAAAAAAAAAAAAAAAAAAAAAAGTACATCTGGGAATAAAATATAATAAACTGTTCACAGTAGTTCTCTCTGGAGTAGAATTGTAAGAAAGCGTCATAGAAAATTTGATACCTGTTCATATTGTTTTGTTTCTTAAAAAGTAACACTGAATGGAACTTTTCATTTTGAGAGAAAGCAAATAACTTTAGTGTTTGACAGAATGATTGGCACAGGTACTCACCAAACTGTAGCTACAAATCAAACTTCAAACAACTGGCAGCAGCCTTCCTGCAAACCCTGGAGCACCGTCAAGGAAATGCTACTCTAGTTCCCTCATCCAAGAGTAAAAACAGAGAGGCAAGACAACATAGAGGGTCTTTATTAAAAGCAGCTGAGACCATGCCTCGGTCCTCTGAGGGGATGTATTTCCTCACGTTCCATTCCTTTCCCGCATTTCCATTCTCTGCAGGCTACAGCTTGATGCACAAAAAAAGGGGGATCATCCTAGATATACTTATACACAACCTTTGAGGGCACAGTTTGGAGGTGGAGTCGCACAGGACATTTGAAAAAGTGAGACAGCAAAGTTTCACTATAGCCCACAAGGAAGTAGAATTTGTGTGCAGGCAACTGCCTCAGGACCAGGGCACAGATCTCCAACTGGTTAGCCCGGCGCTTTATAACCAGCTCGTCAGCCAGGCAGCCTGGGAAGGTACCCCACATGAACTTGCGAAGGAAAACATCCTCCACTGTTCGCTCTGCGGCATGGTCCTCCCCATCCAGGTTACCTGAAGAGGGAAGGGCATCATAGACAAGTCAACCTCATTGCCCGGCGGCCCTGCCGTAACTCGAGAGTCAACATCCAAAAGCACTGAGCACAATCCCACCCTTCACCCCCACCCTCTTCTCTTCTCTTCTGCAAATAGAGTAAGAAAAACAATGCTTTAAAGTTCAAGGTATGTTATGTCATTAATTCTCAAGCCAATTCTGTTTAGTAGGTATTACCATTATTCTTATTTTACAAAAAGGAAGATGGAGGCCTGAGTCAGGGTACAAAACTCAGATGATGCCACCATATCTAAGCCCTTTCCCAGCCTTTTTTGGCTGCCTTATAAAAACACTGGCCATCCCATGAGCCAGAAAGATGAGGCTACCAGCTATTTTGAGGTTAGGGACATGAATCTTCTCATGAGCTAGGCCCAGGGCTTCCACCAGTGGATTCTCAGTGTGAACCCTGGATCCCCTGCAGCCTTCACAATGTCCATTAAGAGTCTGCTCACATATATCCAAACCTCAGACCAGAACCTGATAGAGTGGGTTACAAGCATCTGCATTTTAAGTAAGTTCTCTAGATGCATCTCAAACATCCAAGTTGAGAACTCCCGTACTAAACAAAACACAGTTGGTTCTCAATAGCTCACAGCACTTATGTTCTATAAAGTCACTGCCAACACTGAGTGAATACTGAACCATTGCTCCTAGGGGAAATAAAGGGTTAGGCTCCTTCTAGCCTCTGAGCACCATATTTTTGTTAATAAGTCAATACATAACCTAGTTTCATTTGTTTCGGTTTAAAGACACCTTACTTAATATATATGGCTGATTCATTAACATTGAATTTAGGGCCAAGAGCAACTCATGCCTGAAGAAAAATTCTCTAATACACATATGTTCTCCCAAAGGCAATTCACAGCCTTCTCCTGCCTAGGAACACTAGATAGCACTTCAGCACTGCAGGGCCATTTTAAACAACAAAATCACTAACAAAAAGGACAAAAATGCAAAAAAAAAAAAAAAAAAATCTAGACCATAAAAAGGATACTTTTTACAGTATGAGAATTGAAACAAGGCAGAGCCTTGCCCACCTCAGCTTGGAACATGCAGCTGGGGGCTGGCTGCTTTACCCATATCTCAGAGTGACCTTGAAAGTGTCCAGAGTATTGATTTGGGACTTAAAAATAAATTTTAGCCAGTAAAATCTGAAAATATGGAATTCATGAATAATGAGGGTCGTCTGTATATATTTATAGAGAAAAAGTTGTGCATGAGTGGAAAACTGCATTCCTTAGAGCGCACTCTTCAATGTTATCAAATTCTATAAGGGCTTCACTCCTTTCCTTGACTCTGAGCTTATTTTACAGCTCTGTAAGTTACAGATAACTGATAAGAATGCAAAATAATTCTTGTATGTATATACACAAGTAAAATAAGTTCTGTTCAGTGGAGGATCAATTGAATCCCTGCCCTCCATGGAAAAAGTCAGTTTTGCATCCATCTTCAAATTTGATTCAACATCCTGATCTATATATGTCTCTGCTTATTTTATGTCTCCTTTGAGTTGGTTCCACAGATTTCTGACCCTGGCATTATTTCCCGAGTTAAAAGAAACCTGTGACACGTGTTCATTTTGTTTACAACACAATCGTATTGAGTGCTCCTTTTGGAGGACTGAGGTTCCCGCACCTGTGTGCAGCGACAGCCAGCCCTTACGGTGGGCGATGTAGTGCGGCGCGTGTGCCTCCTCGTAGGTCACCGGCTTGTCTCCCTTGCTTACGCGGACTCGGGCCGCCCGGTTCTAAGAGCAAAAGGGGCCGTGACTCCACGAGACCCCGCATCCAGAACCCTACCCCGAGCCCTGTTCCCCCAATCAGCTGGCACTGCTCCCCGACCCCAACCCCAAGATCCCCGCGCCCCGACTCTAGCCCCGTCTCGGACCCCCACGCCACGCCCCCTTCAGCCCTCGCCGCGTCCCCGACCCCGCCCCAACCCCAGCCCCGACCCCGACCCCAGCCCCGACCCCTGCTCCGAGCCCGGCCCCCGCCCTCGCCCTGGCGGTGCTCACCTTGGCGCAGACCGCGGAGGTGTGCAGGGCGCGCCAAGTGCAAGGCAGCTCTCGGCTACAGGACAGCACCTGCAGAGGGAGGGCGCGTGAGGTGGAAACCAGGGACCCCACCTCCGACTCGCCGGGACCCGCCGCATCGTCCACTCACCCTTGGCCTCAGCAACCCACTGCACACGGAAGCCGCCATCTTAGGTCGCGCGGAACGCAGCGCGTACCACAGCGTGCTGCGGGGTGGGGGCGGCTGCGGACGAGACCAAGTCGGAGGTGCAGGGGCGGGGCAGGGCCTCCGTGGGGCGGGCCTCCGCGGGGCGGGGCCGCGTGGCGCTGTGAGCATTCACTCCCGCCTTCCTCGCATCCCTGTGAATGCTCAGCCTTGTGAATGCTTATCCCGCCGCTCTTCACTCTGTCACGATTGCTGCTTACATTAGATTTCAATCTGGAAATTTGAGGGTGCGAAACGTGAGATTTCCTCTTCAGCGCTAGTACCGGGGATGGGTGTGCGGCCCACCCGACCCAGCCCTGCCCAACAGCATTCCCGGGGCTCGAAGAGGAGTGAAGCGTTTTCCCAGGTCCTTGGAATTAGGCTGCTGAGTTCTGCCTCCAAATAATATTCGTAAAAAGCAAAACAAAACAAAAACCCTCCAGGCTCTTATCAACAAGTAAAGGAGAAACATGTTTTGGTTAAAACGTCACCCAATTCTTCAAGGATGACTAATGCAGTTATGCAAGGATGGGTTTGCCACATGTGGCCATACTGGTGACTGGCTCCTGGGGAAGGAACATTTTAAGTATGGGGGAAAGGGCCAGAGAGCAAGGAAATTCATGAGAACATCTCAGGGCCTGTAATGCTCAAACCAGTGCGTCGCCACTATAATTGGAATCCAGTAATTATTAATGTCAAACGGAAAAATAGCAACACTGGATATTTTATTTTAGAACTCACCACGGTAATGGGTAAAACACGGGCTCTGGAGTCAGACCCATGTATAACAATCTTTTTATAGTTAAGACTCAGTTCTATTATCTGTAAAATGCGTCTTGGCCGGGTGCGTGGCTCAAGCCTGTAATCCCAGCACTTTGGGAGGCCGAGGCGGGTGGATCACGAGGTCCAGAGATCGAGACCATCCTGGTCAACATGGTGAAACCCCGTCTCTACTAAAAATACAAAAGATTAGCTGGGCATGGTGGTGCGTGCCTGTAATCCCAGCTTTTCAGGAGGCTGAGGCAGGAGAATTGCCTGAATCCAGGAGGTGGAGGTTGCGGTGAGCCGAGATCGCGCCATTGCACTCCAGCCTGGGTAACATGAGTGAAACTCCGTCTCAAAAAAATAATAATAATAATAATAATAATAATAATTCGTCTTAATAATAGTACTACCTTATAGAGCCATTAGGATCGAGAGAGTATTTAATAAATGATGGGTTGTGTTTGGTTGAATCATGTGAAATTGCCAATATTTTGGCCGTTCTGGACCTACATCATTCTCCTTAATGGTACGGCACTTGCATACTGCTGCAGGTTCCTGTCAGGGGGAGGACGGCATTATGATCCCTGGGGAGGGGAAATGGAAGAAAGGTGGAAATGAGTTGCCCATGACCACACTGAGGAGAGGGAGAGAGGAATCAACACACAGTCTCTTGACTTCAGTCCAGTCCATTTTCCATGACCAAGACTCCTCTGATTACATGAAGGTAGGTTCTCAAAAAAACCCGTAATAAAAGGACAAGGTCTTCCATGTCCACTTCCTCAGAAATGATTTATTCTTAATTTTTAAAAACTGTAGCCCCCAACTGTTCTGCATATTGAATAAAGGGACATAACAGGAATGAGATCCCCTCCAATCCATAACATTTTGCAAATGTAAGAACTTTCAACTTTTCCTAAGGAATCCTTTTCAACTGACGATATTTATTAAAGTTTTCATAATGTTCAATAATTTTATAATTATTTTCATTAATTTCCTCCAAGCTGGTGAGGATCATGGGATCTGGCATCTAAATTGCCTGAGTCCAAATCCTGGACCCAGTGTTTCCTGGCTATGTAACTGGGGCAAGTGACTGAACCTCCTGAGCCTCAGTTTCCCTCATCTGTAAACTGAGGACAATAATGGTGGTTGTGAAAATTACAGTGTGATGTGCCTGCCAGAGGAAGAGAGCAGTTGTGGGTTTTGTTGTTGTTGTTTTTAATGAGTCTTTGATAGCCACATATTCCGTTAGGGAGATGAGCCAGTTATTGAGGCTTCTATGAAAACTCACAGCAACACCACCCTATCAGAGGAAAGGGGAAGGAGAAAGGAACACAAGATACTTGGGCTGATCAGAGGCAGAGGTGGCAATGGCACAACACCTACTGGGGCCCAGGGTGGGCAGGAGCTGCATCAAGAAGGCTGTGATTGGGAATCAAGTTTTGCCCATAAGGCAGCAGGCAATAAAATGGTTAAACTTATGCTTTTCTCTAGTCAAGCTATTCTCCCTTATGCTTGAGGTGTCTCCGGAATTCCAAACCAATCTAGATCTTTCCAAGCATCACAATGGCCAATTCAGTGGCAGACATTTCTGGGGTTCCAATATCTTGTTACCTATCCTTTATTAGCTTTGTTTATACTGCAATTGGGGAAAAGGGGTCATGTCTGTCTTCATATGATTAAAATCGCTTCAAATGACTTTTATACATCAGTATGAATTGTTGGTGTTCTTTTTCAGGGGAAAGCGTGAAGGGAGTCCCCCACTACCACAAATTATGCAGTCAGGTTTCCCACATTTGGGGAAATCGCAGGGGTCAGCACATTCAAAGTTTAGTGGATAAGCCTTGCCCTGGGAAAACCACCTTCGTGATCATGGTATGCTCCCCTGCCAGGTAAGTATAGTATGAACTGCTCTACTGTTTTAAATCATCAGCAGAAAAATCTGACTGGGGATGTTTTATTTTTCTGTAATTTCTATTTGTTGTTGTTTTGATGCACTTTCCTTCTCCTATCAATTCCATAAAGGAGGCAGTATTTCCAGGCTTCACAGAGCAGAAGATGGAAGCTCACAGACTCGCCTGAGGTTACGGAACTAGTAAATGGTAGCAGGCCTTTTGCTCCAAAGCATGTGCTCTTTCAGTTTCACTTCCTGGGGGCGAGGGTTCAGACCCATGTTAGGATCAGGAAATGGCCTGGGTTTCTAAGGCTTGCTGTAGACAGCTCCCAACTGGCCATCGTGGACTGCCTAGATATCGAGGACTGCCTGGGCAAAGGCCAGAGGCCTATGACCCCGCATGAAGGACCCATCTGCACCCTTCCTGGGGCCTAATGCAGGGACAAGGATGTAAGACTGCTTTTTCTCTGATGTGAGCCTTTGACGCAAACCAGGAACCAGAAGTTGCTCCTATGCTCTCAAAGCAGAGATTTGTAATCCCAATTGCATGACAGAGCCTCTGGGCCCCACACCACCTCTGTGGGGAGAGGGCAGGCTCTCACACTTTTAAAATGCTCCTTAGATGATTTCGATTTGCAATAGGGGCTGAGAACCAGTGCCCTGACCTCAGTTTATTTGGGAGACTCCCAAAATGTGTATTTGCAGAGCCCCTTTAGGGAAGAATGCTGTTGGATGCTCCTGGAAGATTATGGCAGCTCTCCAAGGGGTGTAGCCATAGCCCACGCCTGCCACTCTTAGTTACAAGGGCAGAGGGAGGGAGGGAGTCTGCTGGGAGGTCTGGACTTCTTTGAGATGATCTGTCCAGTTGGGTGTAGTGTAGCCACTATGGGCTCATCCAGAGTGCTCAGGGAATACAGCACTGGCTGGGCTGTGGAGACACACTGTGTGAATGGGAGCCCTCAGCCCCACTATACTTCCAGAGCCTGAAGAGTTTCGGAATCCAGCCTGGGGGCAGTGAGGTGCCATCTCCCTTCCTGTTGGTTGGAGGGTGAGCCAAGATCACTCCACTCATGGTGGTTCTCTTTACAACTGACTTATCCTAACTCAGAACTGCTGACACTTTACACTTTGTAAACCTGTGGTTTTTACATTATTCCTCCTGATTCTTTTTTTCCTAATAACAACTCGTTCACAAGAAAGAATCCCAGAGGCTCTCAGCTCTATTCTGAGAAATAGGTCAAACAACTGAAACCCTACGAGTAAAGCAGGGAGGCGTGTCAAACCAGATGCCAAGACAGCTCAGCCATTTTCCCTGAGGGGTCCCGCTCCATCCCCCTACGTCCGTTCTCCTTCTGTTGAGGCACAAGGGCTGGGTTTGGTGGGTGAGGTCTCAAGCTATAATTACTGACGTCAGCTTTGGGGTCCCAAGGATCCACTCTCCTATCAGAGCTGTGGGCAATTCAAAATGCCCAGTGCCACACTGGGGCCCTGGGCTGTGGGTCCTGAAGAATCCAAACCGGTGCTTGGGGTAGAGGGGGGTGGACTCAAGAAAGACAGGACCGAGGGATGGGCCTCATGAGCTTCAGCCCCTGAGACTGCCACTCCCTGGCTCCCAGAAACCGTGAGATCTAGACATAATGGGCTCAGATGAGGAGACAAGGAAAATGTGCTAAGGACCAAGAAGGGCACAGAGAGTCCCCTGAACCCTGTATGGGCAAGAATGGAGATGTGCAACTGGCACCAGAGGCTGTTCGAGAGATGTGTCTACTAGAGACAGCCAGGGCCAGAGACAAGCAGAAGGGGCCCCCAGGCAGACAGCAGCATGGATGAAGCCATGGCCTCCAAAGTGAGCATGTGGCGGGGTGAGAGTGTGGTCGACGAAATGACATGAGACCAGGACCAAGGTCATCTTGACTCTTGTGCAGCCCTGATTCATCAGTGTTCTTAAAGCCGCACTCTGGTGAAATTTTGTTGGAGTCTTAGAAGAATTCAGGATGGGTGTATGGCCAAATCATTTTATTAGTGACTTAGAAAGAGGATTTTCTCTTTTACCGGGCTAATACACCACACCTAAGGAGTTGGAGCAGCTACCGGATCAGGTTTATATTACATATATATAGACTACACAACACTGGATCAGGTTTTTATATTGTATATATATATAGACTACACAACACCAGCCCCACTAGGTACTGTGTTTCAGTAAATTAAGATAATATTGGTGAGAAGGTGCTGTTTTACATACCATTAAGAAGGAAAAATGTTAATTCCAAATTCTCTAAGAAGGAAAAGAAAAAAAGGGGGAAAAAAAAGGAAAAATGGCTGCAAATTCTCTTAAGGTTCCATTGATTGATTAAAAGATGAACCCTGATCTGACATGTTAAAATGTTTGAGGCTGATGCAGAAGGCAGTTTCCTCTGCACAAGCCTCA